TCAGGATGCGGCATCTAGACTGGTGACTGGGAGTGTACGCCGGGGCTATTTAACACTGGTCCTGAAAGACCTACATTGGTTCCCAATACATTTCCAAGCACAATTCAAAGTCTTGCTGCTGACCTTTAAAGCCCTAAACGGCCTCAGTCTGGTATACCTGAAGGAGTACTTCCAACCCCATCATTCAGCTCCGAGGGCCTTCTGTTGGTTCCCTCACTGCAATAAGTGAGGTTACAGGGAACCAGACAGAGGGCCTTCTCGGTGGTGGCGCCCACCCTGTGGAACACCCTCCCATCAGATGTCAAGGAAATAAACAACTATCTGACTTTCCAGGCAGCCCTGTTTTGGGAAGTTTAAATGTTTGATGTTCTGTCATGTTTTTAATATTCTGTTGGGAGCTGCCTAGAGTGGGTGGGGAGGCCTGGCCAGATGCGTGAGGTATAAGTAATAAAGTAGTAGTAGTAGTAGTAGTAGTAGTAGTAGTAATTTGCAGTGTGTGCAAGGGAGAAAATCACACACTCTCTTCTGTTTTGCAGGTGCCAGGAGTGCCCCCTTTGCATTAAGAGAACTCCATTCAAGGCCCTGAGATTCAACCCCTTGTGCTTGAAGTATAAAACAACTTCAAAACAACTTAGGAAGCTGGATTAGATCATCCTTGTGGTCCCTTCCAACTCTACAATTCTATTATCCCTCAGGTTCAAACATCTTCCTGGGGGGGGGGGGGGGAAGGATAATGGCAGAGCTTTGTATCTGTAACGCAATCTCAGGGTGATGTAGTTTTAAAAATGAAGTACTGCATGCTTGCATGCTACTGTAAAAACAGTTTGGGAATGAGAGAGCCAGCTTTGTTGGTACTGAAATAGACAAATCGATCACTGGGGATTTCTCTTGGTTTTCCATTTTTTTAAACCACATTTTGACATTATTATTTTTGTTTGACATTATTATTTTGTTTGGCTTTTTTGTCTGCACAAAAAATCATCGGAGTTTTAATCACATTTCTCCTAATATAAATTTTATAGATGCAATTTTGACTAATGATATACACATCTTTGCAAGCAATTTCCCATAACATAATGCATTTTGTATGTTCTCTGCTGAATTATTATGAACGCGTCCCCCTAATTTACACATTTCTGTATGCATTATTTGGTAGAAGAGCTGCATTCTAACGTTCAGAGAAGTGCGGATTTCGGATTTCGGTGGACAGCTGCTTTTCAGTTCCTGTATTGTCCTAGGTAGTGCGAATTAGGTAGGCTTGCATTAAAATACGAGTCAAAGCGAATTTCTCCTGCATCCCTATTTCCCACAAGGCAGTGGAGTTTTCCTTCTCCTAGACAAGCTACCTTCTCAGGCTGGTGAGCCCCATTTTCCCAGATGACGTGGTTAAAAATATATGCTTACCTGCTGGCCATTTTTAATAGCTGTTTGGACCTCCAAGGTCCAGAAAGTCTGGGATACACACAGAACTGTTTGTCCAGGCCAATCCCTTACCCAGTTTATACGGAGAGATTTTGGGTAGGCTTCTATCGCAAAACCAATCACCTGAAGGTAAGGAAATGTGTCAGAGAAAAACCAAGTGGATATGAAAGGAAAGCCCAGATTTACAACTACAGGGAAGAAAGCAGTGCTAAAATTCTCGCAGCCTAATCTCTGCCACACAGGGTTATTACCTTGGCACTCCATAATGCCTAAATTGCATCACCCCCATCGTTCAGCCTGGACACTGAGATCCAGCACCGAGGGCCTTCTGGTGGTTCCCTCATTGCAAGAAGTGAGGTTACAGGGAACCAGACAGAGGGCCTTCTCGGTAGTGGCGCCCGCCCTGTGGAACGCCCTCCCTTCAGATGTGAAAGAAATAAGCAGCTATCTTCTTTTTAAAAGACATCTGAAGACAGCCCTGTTTAGGGAAGTTTTTAATATTTAATGCTGTGTTGTTTTTAACACTTGATTGGAAGCTGCCCAGAGTGGCTGGGGAAACTCAGCCAAATGGGTGGGGTATATTATTATTATTATTATTATTATTATTATTCCTCCCTTCAGCTCAAGCAAGCATCTGAACCAGATCAATATCTTACAAAATGCAAACATGGCGTCCCTTTGCAGCTTGCCCATGGTTCTGAGCACCTGAATTTAAGAAGATTGCTCTCCCTTCACTCTGAGAGGAACATATCAACTTCCACCTCTAAGTACACTGGAAGGATTGTTTGGAAGCCTGTTCTAGCCTTGACTGTACACAAAAGGAGTGCAACCACATGTTTAAAGATTAGCACGTTCAACGACACTTTTCAGTCTAAGCATTGAGCCACGAGAATTGAAGTAAAGTGCCTTATAAAAACTACAATAGGAAAGGAAGGCACGAAGGATGCCAAAAACAGACCAAGAGAGCAAATGAAGTGAGCTTCATCAAAAACAGATTCAGAAAAGAAAGCTGCCAATTGACCATTTTTAATCAGGCTGTATTCATCCTGTGGCACGCTGTCAGCAAACCCCACAGAAATTGTCTTTCATTTGCTATTCTTGCTGCAGCTCCAATAAAACTTTGTTAGCACTGTAGTTTTTGTTTTGTTTTTTCCCTTCACTGTTAACCAATTCATGGGAAATACTACTGAGCTGTAAATTTGTCAGGGGGAGCCACAGCACTTGTGCTCTGATTATCACATACTAGCAGGAAGCATTGATTCAGACTGAACAACTTCCCCTTCTCCTTTAATGGATAGAGCAAATTTTGCACTGTGTATTTCTTCCAAGAGGCCTCCTGAAGTCTCTGTTTACGGATCCCTGATTGCCCACAGAGGCCTTGAGCCAGCATAACATAGGGGCTCCTTGAGTCCTCTGCTACACCACACCAACAGCCTCCAGCGCGGATCAGGCCCTCTCTGAGTGCAGCAGTCCAGTTCACATGCATGTACACATTTTCAAAAACTTAAAACAGCTGCTGCTATTGGGTCAGATAATTAGCAGACATAGGCACCAATTCTATGGGGCTGCGGACATCTCTGCCCCCCCAAGTATGTGGGGATGGGGCTGAGCACTCTCCCCCCATCTTGAGGGGCCCTGCCAGGTCTCCCTGCGGCGGCAGCAGGGTACATTGACTCCTCCTGACGTGTGGCATCACATGTGTGTGTTGCACAAGTGATGTCACACACACACAATGAGCCCCCCCCCCTCAGTATCAGGCAGATAGAACTCTGCTAGCAGGAAGGGTTCACCATTAACAGTCTGTAATATTTGTGATCTAAGATTCCAGAAAAACATCTGGGCAAAAGGTAGTTGAACTAGATGACCCTCGTGGTCCCTTCCAACTCTACAATTCTATGACACTATGACAAGCAAAAGACATACAGTGGTACCTTGGTTCTCAGACTTAATCTGTTCTGGAAGTCCGCCCAACTTCCAAAACGTTCGGAAACCAAAGCTGATGCAGCCAATCGGAAGCCGCGGAAGCCCCATCGGATATTCGGCTTCCAAAAGAACGTTCAGAAACCAGAACGCTCACTTCTGGGTTTCGATCGTTTAGGAGCCAAAATGTTCGAGAACTAGGCTGTTCGAAAACCAAGGTGCGGCTGTATCAGTATATCACAGTGTTCAGCTGGTGATATACAGTGGTACCTCAGGTTACATACGCTTCAGGTTACATACGCTTCATATTACATACGCTTCAGGTTATCGACTCCGCTAACCCAGAAATATTACCTCGGGTTAAGAATTTTGCTTTAGGATGAGAACAAAAATCGTGCTCTGGCGGCACGGCGGCAGCAGGAGGACCCATTAGCTAAAGTGGTGCTTCAGGTTAAGAACAGTTTCAGGTTAAGAACAGACCTCCAGAATGAATTAAGTTCTTAACCCGAGGTATCACTGTATCACGATATTGAAAACCAGATATCGCATAGCCCTACTTGTGGGGAGCGTGTCAGGACCAGGAAAAAGGGAAAAACACCAGCCATGGCTTATTTCTCCCTTCTTTCCGTTCTGTGTTTGTATTTTTTTGCTCCGTTGCTACTATGAAAATGAGGGATGTTTCTGCTGTAGGTGTTTGTTGGCAAAGATTCACAACGCTCAGGATGAGAGCCCAGAGGGATTGAGGAGTTGGTGAAAGGTTTCAAGATGCTCAACAGCCACAGAGTTGGCACAGAGTAGAGGCCTCTTTTGTGTGAGAGACAGAGAGGGAATGAGTGAGCTGCTATAGATGAAAGAGATGAACCCCTGGTTAAGATCAGGGGTTATTCAGTCTGTTGAATGTTTTTTTACAAAGCAATAAACATAAACAAATAAACATAAAAATGTGCACCCCACCACCGAGGCCATTCCATTGTAACTATCCAACCTCCCAAAATTTCAACGCCTCTTGCGATGGTTTGACCCCTTTCCATTTTAACAGTACAAATTCTACAAACATCCTCCATATCTCCTCAGAATCATTTCTCCCGCGTATTCCCCATCTTACCTTAATAGCATGTGTTAATTTATAATTAACAGCTATATCCCACACCTCTTTATACCATTCTTCCATTTTGTATTCTGCTTGCCCCTTCCAATTCCTAGCTATAATAATTCGTGCAGCTGTCAATAAATTTGTGAGCAAGTCATTCCTAGCCTGCAAACCTTCCACCCCCATCGTAAATTGATAACAATGCTACCTCTGGACTTTCAGTCAGCTTTAACCCTGTGATCTCTTTAAACACCCTTTGCCCCCAAAATTGTACATATTTACACCCCCACCACATGTGAACATAATTCCCTGTTTCCCGGCATCCCCTCCAACATAACACTGAATATTTCTTGTTTATTTGATTTAATCTGACTGGTGTATTTAAGGCTCCTTTTTTGCTTTTATTGTTTTTATTTATTAAATTTGTACATCTCCCTTCACTTGGTTAAATCGGAATGTTAATCCCTGCCCTTACTGTAGTTTAGCTTTATCTATTTGTTTGGCATTTACCCAAATGTGATATATATGTTACCTTGTGGATGGAGTTGACCATCGCTGCTTCCAGTTCAACTAGCCATTTTTCCACTTGACCTCTAGCTTTAGCTGTTGATATTGTGTTAATGAGGGCTATGACTTCTCCTTCGCTGCTTTTCATGTGCGTAATATCCAAGACTTCGGTAAACTCCACACTAGCAATTCCTTCAAAGCACTTTTTCAAGTGAGGCTTCACCCTGCAGAAATAAGAAAGAGGGGAATTAAGAAACAAACGATGCGTTAAGCAACAAGTTATGACGCCTTCAAAGAACAAGTTGTTTGTGTGTTGTATATTTAGATTAATAGCCTCACACTATCTCAATGAGTCAGAGCAGTTTCTTCTATCCACAGAGAGCATTTTTCATCCCCATTTATCAGTCTCACAAACAATACACTCTGCATATTAAATACTGTACCATTTGCTGTAAATTCTCTCTGAAACATGTTGAACATGGAAATAAGCATCTACTGGAACAGTCCTAGAAAATTTCCAGCAAATAGCTAGAATGTACCAGGAATAGTAGGTAACTTTGAAAAATCTACCTTGCTGCCTAACACATAAAATGATTTCGGGCATTTTTCATTTCAGATTTGTTGTTGTTGTTTGTGTGTGTGTGTGTGTGTGTGTGTGTGTGTGTGGAGAGGTGTTGTGCTTAAGTGTTCTGTAAGTACATCTGGAACAGTTTCCAGCAAGCATTAAGACAGCCACCCAATGTTATTTTACCACTGTGATCAATAACCATCCTTCTGACCCATTTGTCAGACAGCTATTCGTGCCGAAGGCCTGACTGCTTCACACCATCAGTCTTGTACAGACTTTCAACCTGTACAAGGATCAAGAGTCTTCTGTTAGCGCTGCCCATTTCCTATAAGTAGGGGCAGAGAAACTTTTTCAGCACATTCCTTTTGTGGACAACCTTCCAATAGCCATGTGCAAGAGGTGGCCATGGCCAGCAGAAAAAGAGAGAGGAGCTACATTCCAGCCACAAAACAATGCCATCTATACAATGGTACCTCGGGTTACAGACGCTTCAGGTTACAGACTCCGTTAACCCAGAAATAGTACCTCGGGTTAAGAACTTTGCTTCAGGATGAGAAGAGAAATCAGGTGGTGGCAGCGCGGCGGCAGCGGGAGGCCCCATTAGCTAAAGTGGTACCTCAGGTTAAGAACAGTTTCAGGTTAAGAATGGACCTCCAGGATGAATTAAGTTCTTAACCCGTGGTACCACTGTATTATGTAATTTGTGGTTTTATGTCTTGATTTTATTCTGTGAACCACCCTGAGACCTCCAGATACAAGGCGGTATATAAATTCAATAAAAACAAACAAACGAAGATCTGGAGAGATGCTTCTGAGCCCCCCGGGGGGGCTAAAATGCCCCCCATCCATACTACAGCATACCTGCTCCCCCCCATGGTTGCATGTTTGACTTCACATTTACAATAGAACCTCCACACACAAGAGTCCGAGTTCTAAATCCATGGAATCTCATCTGCAAAATCTAGGGTGCAGAGCATCTATATTTAATAATAATAATAGTAATTTATTATTTATACCCCGCCCATGTGGCTGGGCTTCCCCAGCCACTCTGGGCGGCTTCCAAAAAAATATTAAAATACTGTAATACATCAAACATTAAAAGCTTCCCTAAACAGGGCTGCCTTCAGATGTCTTCTAAAAGTCTGGTAGTTGTTGTTCTCTTTGACATCTGTTGGGAGGGCGTTCCACAGGGAGGGCGCCACTACCGAGAAGGCCCTCTGCCTGGTTCCCTGTAACTTGGCTTCTCGCAGTAAGGGAACCGCCAGAAGGCCCTCGGCGCTGGACCTCAGGGTCCAGGTAGAATGATGGGGGTGGAGACGCTCCTTCAGATATACTGGACCGAGGCCGTTTAGGGCTTTAAAGGTCAGCACCATCTATATTAGTGCCTAGGACAGTGTATGATCTCACACACAATCCCATTTGTAAACTGGGATTGGACCCATTCCAATCCACTCTGGATCCGAATCTAGATCATGATCCAAAGTGTCGAAATCTACAGAAATCCCATGGACTTGCTCCGCTCATCAACCCCACGCACCCTGCCTCAGTTTGCCTCCCCCCAAGGGATCATGTATCTTGTTTGCCTGGATGGATGATAGAGAAGGATGTGAGAGTTTATGGAGAAAGTAGCCCATTGTACAAAGCTGAAATTTACATTTGTTGCTCTTTCCACTTTTGCCTGACTCATCAGTGGCATGTGGACCCCAGAAGCTTGCCCCAGGAGGGAGTGTGGCCCTCAGTTGGAAAAAGGTTTCCTACCCCTGTTGTGAAGGGGACACAGGAGACAAAGTACCATATTTTCTGGCGTATAAGATGACTGGGTGTATAAGACGACCCCCAACTTTTCCAGTTTGGGATATACTCGCCGTATAAGACTACCCCTCTTCCAACGCACACCAAATAAAAAAAATAAAAAACAATCTCCAGTCCAGCTCTGAAATCCACTCCACTTCCCAGTGGCTGGGGGGGGGGCGTGGCCTGGTCCATTTAAACGAGGAGTGAGCCAGAGGGCTTCCTCTTTGGCTCACTTCCTCAGTCGCTAGGACGTCGCTGAACTTCACTCGGTTATTGCTTTTGGGGGTTTTTTTTACTGCTTTTGTTGAGCCACTCTCATGGAATTTGCTAGTGGTCTACTACCGGGAGTAGTCAGGGTTGTTCTGTTGCTGGTGATTGGGGGGGGCTTCTGGGGCCAATTTTCAAGCGTATTTCTGCTTCATCTAGAGAGCTTGGTGTCCTCTGATTTAATTTGCTGTCGTTTTGTCCTTTGGTGGGGAGTTGCTGCAGGAGCTGCTGGTGTAGCCGGTGTATAAGATGACCCCCGACTTTTGAGAAGATTTTCCTGGGTTAGAAAGTAGTCTTATACGCCAGAAAATACAGTAGTGAAGAATAAAGTTAGGGCTACAACAGTAGGGATGGCAACGTTTTCAATATATAAGGAACAGGTGTCTATGTGTCTATGTGTTCATTGTTGCCTCATAGCATGTGAAAACTTCGTTAAGGTGAATTACGGCTGCGTATCAACCAATACTATATACCGTGTCGGGTCTTTGGTCTCTGAGAGAATCTCCAGCAACTCATCATTGGATAAGAAGAAGAATCTGGGGAAGAAGAGGCGCTTCTTTTCTAAATACTCATTCAGCCCCTTCAGAATCAGTTCTAGGAACTCGTTGCATTTCTTCAGTTTTTCCAGCATCTTGTCTATCATCACTACCGTCAGAACATGCTTGTCCTGAAGAAAGGAAGAAAGGATTACGAAAATCAGCACCATCTCAATCTAAAGGCCAGTTGTTGTTGTTGTTGTTGTTGTTGTTGTTGTTGTGTTAGGGACTCAGTTGCTCGAAAAGAAGGAGCAACGAAGCTGTGACACGCTAAGTGTTGCTGGACTCCAACTCCCATCAGCCCCAGGTAGTGCGGCCAAGAGAATGGGACTCTGGGAGCAGTAGTTCAACAAGATATGGAGGGTCACTGTTTTTACATCTCTGCTCTAGAAGGTGATAGGCCCAGAGGTGAGAGGAATTGGCTCCATTTTCCTCTGTATATTTTTGATAATGAATCATCTTTGATAATGTACATTTGTGATAATGAATCATATTTGAAAGTTCCCTTGATCCTTCTGTGGCACTGACATGTCATTTCATTTCACTTTTCACTTTTAGTCTGTATACCGCCTTTCTGTATTACTACTACTGGAACTCAAACACATTGGCTCCCGAACAAATCAGCTCCAGAACGAACAAAACCCGGAAGTGAGTGTTCCAGTTTTCAAACGTTCTTTTGGAAGCCGAACATCTGACGGGGCTTCTGCAGCTTCCGATTGGAAGCTCCTGCAGCCAATCAGAAGCCATACTTTGGTTTTCGAACATTTTTGAAGTTGAACGGACTTCCGGAACAGATTCCATTCAATTTCCAAGGTACGACTGAATACACAAGGTGGAAGAAACACCTAATTACAAAAAAGCAATAAAAGCATAACTTTAAAATAATCAACTTATATCAAATAAAGCAGCATTCAATAATCCTTTAGAATATAAAAGTAAGCAGTAAAATTAAATATCAGCAAATAATAATTAAACAATTTACACTTAACAATAACAATAAAGAATTATTAAAGTATAATCAATAAAAATAATGGCATGTCACAATGCATAATATACCACAAAACATATAAAACCATGTAAATGGATCAAATTGAGAAGCAAGGACACACAAATTTAAAAATAATTATTAAAAAAAATCACTGAACTCCTCTTCTCTCTTCTCTCTTCTCTCTTCTCAACTGCTTCTGAATTTCATCACCTTCTGAATTTTTCCTTGGCCAACACGTTCTGCCTATTCTACTTTTCAGTTGTGGCTTTGCTGATATTTTTGCTGTTAGCTTTCTCATTGTTGTTTTTTTTTAACTTTTTAAAATATCCTGTACTTGTTTGCCACTTTGACTCATTCAGTCTCGAGCTGGGACAGTGGGATATAAATGTTCTCAATAAATAAACAAAGGAATAAACAGATATGTGAATATTCACTGAGCGTTCTCAACATAGCTCTTATTTCAACACTGTACAGTATTTGACAGCTGGCATGTATATAGCCAACATTTGAGAGCACCCGACAGGTTACCAGCCGGAATCTTGACAGCTGACCTATAACTCTGGCATGCAGTAACATTAGAGAAAGGCGTGCAACCTGATGGAAAACCATGGCAAATACAACAGGAAATGGGAACGGAAGTGATGGAATTGGGTGCAAATTAAGGAATGCATAATAAGAAAAGAACTGTGGAATATTATTTTAATATATGTAGAGAGACTCTTGTATGAACACAGATTGTAAGATTTACTGTTGTTTAATATGGAGGAATGGTTGTTGAAGTTATTGGAGATAAGGTTGATATGTTTGATTAGAGAAAAACTATTGCTCATATTTATCAGTAACAGTAATTAGGGAACCCCTTTTGGACTTCTTGTGTGAAAAGGAAAACGAATTAATCTGGCACATTTGGGTTGGAGGATTGGGAAAATATTGCCTAACAGAAAGTAGATCAGTCAGATGTCATTCTAGAGTGAATATTTTGAGTAATTTCTTTTACCTATGTAACTGACAGACGGATAATCAGAAGTCCTGTTGTTTTTCCTCTTTTTCCTCTCTCTTTTTCCT